AATTTTGCTTCCCTTTTATCTCCAAAACTGGCAGAGATAGGTCCATAGTTTCTATTGAACTTGAATAGGAAGTCATATTCTGGCAATCTTACTGTGACCTTGAAATTGACCTTTGACCTACCTTACGATGAACTTAAATTTGATTGTACCATTTTTAGTTATATATATTTTTTGCATATTTTGAAAATTCTTGTTGATTGCATTTTTACAGCTTGTCAAGCACAAGACTGGTGGCTCTGTCCCTTATTTTGTGTATGTGGGGGTCTGTACGAATGCGCTTGCTCCAGCTGGTGGTACAGTATTTGGAGGCGGTATCGCCTCTCTGATCCTCTAGTTTTTTAAGTAAATAATGCACGACAACGCTTCGACGAAGGGTGAAAAATTAAAAAGCTGCATTCACAAGTCACGGGAATAGAGTGCTTCGCAGATATTGCTAATAGATATGAATGTTTCGCCCATCTCAGAAAATAAAAACTGGAATTCAAAGGTTAAGGAAAATACCCAATGGGACCCTCTTTAATATTTCACCGTAAAACATATTTGTGCTATATAAAGATATTATGAATATTGTCACTATTATCTAAAGATGCATACAAAGCGAGTACCTAAAGTACTTATGTAAAATTAGTTCCACTATTAACCCATTACAGTGACGTCATATTTGCTCCGTAACACTAGTCCCGCGGCCATGCTGGAGGGAATGAACGACGGGGAATAGTAGCGTAAATATAGGTAAACCAAATAAAATAAAGTAAACTTCATATCACGATCAAGGACACCAAAGGGAAAGGGATATATACAAGCTGAGGCTTCAGCTGATCAGCGGGATCGACCGATATGAACTCAAGACAGTCTAAAAACGTGAAATCCTACTAAATGCTACTTACCCAACATCGTGTTGTCAGAAGACATATATATATATATATATATAATTTACTTGCACCCAATCAGTGTGGCTTGGTGGGAAATGCCTAATCAATTTCCTAAATGTAAATTAATAGACAGATAACAATAGTGATTTTTATTCATATTATAACTTACAACATTACAGTTGAAAGGAGCAGAATTTATTAAAGATTATCATGAAATTATAATCTTATTTATGAACTGTACATATATGGTCATGGGGGTCACTCGTACTATCTTGTGTGTCTATGGAGACGACGATGCATACATTATGTTCCGGCTGCTGCATCGGAAAAACACGAACATGA